TATCGGTTATGCCTTTAAAAATAAGGCATTCCTGACTGATGACAATGGATGATGGAGATCAGCGTTCCCGTCATTATCTTCGTGCAAATATGGATGCCAGAACTGCCATCATAATGTAGTGATGGAAGACCGATTAATATGGTTTGTGTGGCTTTTGCCACATTACGTTAGAATTTGCTTTTTATTGTAGTTTCCGCGTGGAATGGCCAATTTACTTTGAAGAAGTTTTATAGCTTAATTATCAACGTTGCTTTTTCAGAACAACATTTTAAGGCATGTTCTACATTTACTTTCTTTTTCTTAGATTCTGAAATTAAGGGTCGCACAATTACTACACCTCTCAGGTTAGAGTGTGACTTGAGTTTTCCTGCTGTCATAAATTCATCAGTTCACAACCAAAAACTCGCTAGACATCCTTCTGAGTTCGACATGGCAGTCCAGGCGACAGTCGTACATGATTACTGTGCAGATTGTACTCGCCCCACCCTGTGGAGAAGGAACTGCACCATCTGCCGTTTGGGGTATAGTTAATGCTGTTTGTGAGTGCCATTCGCGTAGACAAGGAAGAAGAAGAAGCAAGACAAGGAGCATGAGAAATGGAACCAAAAGAAAAAAACTAATGAAAATAAAAGAGGTGGGGAAAAAAGAAGATAGGTTATCCTTGTCATCTATATTTTTCTGATCATAATCGTCATCAGTGCATCTGTCCTGAAGGGTACATTTTCCAGTATTTGTCGTTCTTAGGACCAATGTTTCTTCTGATTTTTTCGATTAGCATATTCAGTAACGTATTTCACACTGGTCTATTCTTTATAAGGAATTTATTTTGCGTTTGATTTCAACTCAAGAGGGGCACTATAATTTTTTAGAATACTATTTTTTGACGCAAACTTCGGTGTACGAGTATGGCAAGCACTGGCAGGCAGTCGTTGTTCATAGTGGGCGAATCTGTATTTGGTCAGATAATATCTGCTCTCTGCTATAAGTTGAACATCTCTGATTGAGTTTGGTCAATAAAAGCAGGAGCTGCCGATTAAAAAATTCGTCTGCGTTTTTATTTCAGATTATTTATTTTTGCATAACTGTAGGCTACCGTTGTTAGTCTATTTTACTACCTTTCACTAAAAGCTATGCCAATTTTTTTTATCTAACCGCGCCTTCCTGATAAAGTTACATTAATTAATAGTGTGGTAAATTTTGTTTTTAAATTAA